GGCACATAACAACAACAACAACAACATTCACAGAAGAGGCCTGAACAAAGGGCAGGGACTGCCAAGGCCTGGGCAGCATTTCCTTGTTTTGTTCTCGGGGTCATCACGAGGTAGAATTCATCTATCTGATAGCATTTTAACAAGAACTGCATGGACATATAAAAGCTGGGCTTAGGGACATTGTTTTTGTTGTAAATGTTTTGTTATAACTATGGGAATAATTTTTTTTATAAATTATAATAAACGCCTTCTGAAACACCGCACAAAAAACCTTAAAATCGATTTTTGGTATTGCCCTCTGACAGTGACTTCAAAGCCTGAAAAACAGACTAGGGTCACGGAGTTTAGGACAAAAATAGGGGAAATTGGTCCCATGAAAGACCACAAATTCCCAGGCGCTGAGCTAGAAAGTGAACGAGGGCGTGCGTGGGTCAGCGGGCACGTCCGCATCTCGTCCTTCCCGGCCAGAGACGCAAAAGTAGGACAAAGGTTGCGGATCTGGCTCCGCCCTTTCCCGAATGTCAGACCCGCAGGACGGTGGGAACTCCCGGTCCCCGCCCACTAAGTTGGCCCTGGACACACAGAACCGCGGGCCCCACGATCGGTGACCTGCAGAGTCACCCCCGAGCTCTGGCCGCGCCCCTCCGTCCCCCATGCGCCCCGGGGAGGAGAGGGCGCAGCCCCACCAGCCTGCCCTTCCCGGCTTGGATGTTCCCCTACCGGGCCCTCCCCTTCCCTCCTGTCCCCGCAGGACCCCGTTTTCTGACACACCCTCCCATTGTGGGCGACACTTCCTTGGTTGGAAGGGGTGGGTGGGCGTGCATTTAGTACCCAGCCCCTAAATCAGACACTTGGCCAGGCATTTACCTCTAGTTGAGAGCACCCTCGAAAATCGGGGAGACAGAGGCCATCTGTGTGTGCGAGTCACATACGCAGCTACGAGCAGACTCCAGGCTTGGATGACCGTTTCATTTTTTAAGCAGCAGGGCAACCTCTCGCAGGGGGCATTAAGACACGTGGTGTTGTCTGGAGAGAGTGCCTAGCACCTTAGTTCCTCCAAAAAGAGAAACAAAGTCTGTTTCGGTTTCTGCAGACCTTGGATCAGGGAAAGCCCGGAGGTGGTGAGGGACTAACAACCAGTACTTTGTTGAAAGCACTGCAGAGTCAATTACAGGCGCTGCTCGGGAATCTCCCGACTTGAAGAGTCCCTCACACGGGTCACTCAGGTGTGTTTCCCACCCACTTGGCCTTGGGGGCAGCGAGTGCTTTCGGATTCCTTCAAATGTTTCTTACTGCAGGAAAAAAAACACTGTAAACCAACAAACGTGCATAGTTCCTATCGACGTGAGAGACTCAAAGACGCATAGCACGCACGTCCGCAGGCCCCTCCGCGGCGGAGACGCGCCCCGCAAGCACCGCCCCGGGGGCGGGGCCGCGCACTTGCGTCAGGGCGCTTACGTGCGGCGCTTATTGCGCTTGCGCATGTTCCGGGGTGGGTGGGGCGGTCGGGCCCGCGCATAAATGGGAGCTGCAGAGGGATCCGGGGAGAGCGCGTGACGGCCGACTGTAGTTTCTCCGTCTGGTCTCTGTCTTTCCTCCTTTCTGGGTGAGCCGGCGGTGCACGTCTCCGACTTTCCTCCCAACTTCTGCACTATCTGCTGTGACAACACTGCGGACTCGATCTCCTCGAGGTGAGCGGCTCTGCACATTTCCCTGCCTGAGAGCCCAGTTCCCCGCCCTCACCCTCCGAGCTGCGCCCTCCCCATTCCCGGGCTGGGACTCGCTTATCTGGGTTGCCTCTCTCGAGGTCCCTATTTAGCCACCTCGTACCCATTTTTCCTTGAAGGATCCTAACTCGGGTACTGAGCCTGTGAATATGCCGCCTTCCTCGCTGTTGCGTGCGCTTAGGCGTCCCTGTGTTACCTCCCCAAACACCCTTAGCATCTTTCTTTGCTGGGACTACTCGTAGCGTGCCGTGTCACGTGGTCCCTGCCTGTTTTCTTACTTGCCTTTGCCATAGATTGTAAGGTTTGGGAGAAGAATGCCTATCTTCAAGATCTGCCATGCCCTAAAACCTTCTAAGGCTGTAGATGTTCAGGGTATGTTTATGGAATGAGTGGACCTGACCCTTTGGAACCGTTTTGACTTTCAAAAGTATATGGTTAAAGAAAAAATGGAACGCATAGACAACACTGAGCTTTTATTAGGGGTGATGGAATATTTGGCAGCAGTAATGGAATAAACGATAAACACGATAAATTAATGTCACATTCCTGCAGCTTCTGAGCACCCGGTGTGCATATACGTGGGGATTCAGCTGTGGAGGAGCGTCTCCTGGGCCCTGTCTCCCTAGTGGTGGAGTTCTACAAGGAATGGATGGTGGGGGCCAAATATTTTCGTATCCCAAAAATCTGTAGATTAACCACCTCTTTTTTCCCCCTTAGGCTCTAGCAGCAGAACACAGCTCTGCAGAGGAGCGAGATCTCTTCAGCCATGAAGCATATATTGAACCTCTATTTTCTGGGAGTGGTGCTGACCTTCCTTTCGTTATTCTTTGGATTGGTGGAATGCTTGTTCGAGGGTCCATTGCCTGGGAGCTCCTGGACTGCCAGAGGCCAGCTAGCTGGTTCAGAGCCCCCCAAGGGCCTTCCAAGCCAGCCATCTCAGCCCAAAGGGTTGCGTTAAGACCTTTCTTCACCCACCATAACCTTGGAACAGTGGTTCAAACCCATCCTGCCAGGTGTCTCAGTTCTTAGGCAGGTAAACTCAGAGCAGCAGTGTTAATCAGAGACCTGATTGTGTCCCTTGAGTGACTTTCCATCTGAATGGCTCCTGCCCCGGAGAAAAAGACTCTTTCATCCCCAGATGTGTGTGGTTACCTGCGCTGGCTGTGGGACCATAGCTCCCAGGCTTCTAAGGTCCGCTGTGTGCCCTGTGCTGTCCTTGGCTAAAGATGTCCAGCTTCTCAGATGGGGGCGGATGCTGCAATTTCAGTATTTCAGTCATTGGGAGACAGACAGTGATGCTGTCTCTTTATTCCTTCCCTAAACCTCCCCCTAAAACTTTGGACTTGGTATCTTGAGCACAATTTGTTTGGTGTTTGGCCTTTTCTCTGAGAGACTTCTGGGTTTAAATAACCTCTGAAGGGATGTGTGGGAGATAGGAGGGGACAAGCAGTTCATTCTCATGTTTTACATTTAAGTCTGTCCTCCAACATGGTGTGAACAGGTCCAAGGGGGCCAGTGGGGTGATGGGCCTATTGGCCACTGTGTGGCCTCAATTAATGTTTCAATGCAATAAAGTTGGGTATGTTTTTAACTGTGTCATATTTACGTCTTCCTTTAAAATTAGCAGTAGGGAAGGCATTCCTAGAGAAGAGTTTTAACATATTAAAACTTGTAAACAGGGAAGAGTTTAGGGCTCTTGTTTTGGCTATAAATCTCTGAATTTAGGGGCAGAAGCATTTGGGTCAAGAAGTGACTGAACCTGCGGTTCAAATCCACCAGATGCTCTGCTGGAGAAGGAGGGGGCAATCTCCTCCTGTACCAGTCAGATCTGATTTGACAGTACACGTAAAAAATTATTTTAAAAAAATATTTTTAAAAAAGTGACTGATCCTTTAGCAGTGCACCTCCTGACTCTCCCAGCCCCCACTGCTGCTAGTCCATACCAAATCACTGTGGGACAGAGGACAACTGCGTCATAGGATTTCCAAGGAAAGAAATATGGAAGCAGACTGCATCACTTTCTCCCTTAAAGCAGCCGGTGAGTTTAAACTCCTGACCTTTTAGTTAGTGAACCAACATTTAACTGACTGCACCACCTGAGCTCTTCATTTTCAAAAAATAATCATCACAAATAACCGCCTCACCATAGTCTGGGTGAGGAGATAAAGGACTGTGGTCAGTAGGCCCTTTTCTTTAAATGTCTTTTTTTTTTTT